AGTGTTGCTCCTTCAAAGAGTTCAGAGCAGTTAGTTTGCCAACCAGATTACAGGGATTTAAGAGTAACTCAGTTTAGTAGCAGTGGCTATTGCTGAGAGTCTCAAATTGAAATTCACTTCACCTGCAAGTAGGTACTTGCATTTTAAACTCCTCTGTTCCACACAGAATGGGAGGTGTTAATCTTGATGAAATATCTGCATGCTAGAAATGAAAGAGCCCATTTCTTAAGCTCTGCTTCTTCTGTGGTATTTTATGAGAGGGCCTCAGCAACTACGGGGGATATCTGAGTGGGAATAGGGCTCAGTAGGTCAGGTGCATCCTACTTGTAGGGCTTACTCAAGAAAACCCTGAGGAAAAAAACAGTATCATTCTGACCTTGTAGAGAGGAGGTCAGCCTGGGAGTGGTCATGAAGGGGCCCATTCTCAAGACTCTCAACAGGACTCTGTGGAGAAGTTGCGACCAAACTTGCAGCCATGTTTGCTGTCACCTGAAGACTTGGTGGGAAAATGGAATCACCAAACTGCAGGTAGGTCCTCAGATCTAAACTAGCAGTTGTGTGTCCTCCTCCAATATATGCAAGACCGCAAGTCAACTCTACCAAATGTAAGGGAGACAAGGCAGTCTTGTACACCTGCATCAGGAGGTGAAGAGTATCAGTTGTTGCTTTTCAGGATGGCAATAGTGTTTTATGGACTCTGCTGAATCAGGGGACTAAAGCCCTGTTCTAGGGATTGAAGGACGGGAACTGCTAGGGGTCAGCTTCTTTTAGAAAGAATGTGCTCAAGTGCTGGGGCATTCATGTACGCAAAGCTGAATGTACAGCAGAACTCGCTTCAGGAGGCAAGAATTCACCCAGTAAGGGTCTGTAAGTTTTCCCCGTACTTCCAGTATGGTTGTAAAGGGGATGGATGGTGTCTAAGCATCTCTCAATATGGTGTTTTTAATGACATAAGGGCATGAAATTTATGTTCCACAGGACTAGACTGACTGACTTCTAGAGTAGACGTAAAACACTAAATCATGAATAGCATTTGTAGTACTAAACCATTCACTAGAGCATTTCTTATCTTTTTTTGTATGTTTAAACTGAGTCTTGAGAGCTTGTAATGCTGTCAGGGCTCCTGCCCTCTCACTGTACCTGATCTTTTGGGTGAATAGGTACATGTCACAGGGTGACAAAATGTGTGAAAATGACTCGGGAGGGTTCCATGTTTCCTGTCTACTAACGTGACCTTCCTTGATAAGAAGAAACAGTGTAAGTCTGCTCTGTTTCCATTGCTTGTGCCTTGTATCTTCCATTCAGCTGAAGGGGAAGAAAGGCAGCACGGTTCCAGAGAAGAAATGGTGTTACAGAGAAAGCTGGAAGTTGAACTCCGACACATCCAACA